GGGGCTCATGCGGGCTCATTTAGGTTTAGCTTTCGAGCCTGTTTTGGATTAGAATGTTCTTTTGAGTAAATAAATGAGCGATAAGAACAATCTGGTCAAAAGATCTGGCCACAGGCGGGTTTCTGATTGATTTCTAAGCTTTGTTGTCCCCAAGCAGGGCAAAGCAGTTGAGGTGTTGTGATTCAGGCCTGCTTTGCTGCATGGGTCTTGAGAATGAATGAGCCATGGGGAGAGAAGCCCCATCCCTCTGGGTGACAGCCCATGGGAGGTGGGTGGAGAGGGGTCCTGTCTGGTGCCTGAGCAGGAAGAAGGGCCCCTCCACCAAGGGTGCACTTCCAGCCAGCAACCCTCAGCTGCCTTTGTGCAAAGCCTCAACGAGTTGTTGCCGGAAGAAAGGAGGCAGCACAAGCCTGGCAATAAGTTGGGGCTCATTAAATATTAGCCACCATTGTTATTACCCTGCCTGGTGACCCCTGAAGCTTAACCTAACAGGAGCTGCTGCCGGGGGCTGAGCCTTGTCTGGGATGAGCCATGAACGCCACATGGGCCAGATCCATGCTGGGGGAATGCAGGGCTCGGATGGTGTCCTGCCCTCCTGGGTTGACGGGTGGTCCCCAAAAAGATACATCCCCCAGAACCTATGACTATAATCCTATTTGGAGAAACGGCCTTCGCAGATGTAATTAAGGATCTTGGGCTCATCCCGAGTTAAGAAGGACAAGTGTCCTTATAGGAGACAGAAGAGAAGACACAGGGGGAAGGCCATGGGAAGATGGAGGTGGAGACCGGAGGGACTCGGCCACCAGCCAAGGAATGCGTGGAGCTGCCACAAGCAGAAAGAGGCAGGAAGGAACCTCCCCTAGAGCCCTGGGAGTGAGCACAGCCCTGGGACACCTTGATGTTTGGACTTCTAGTCTCCTGAACCACGAGAAATTCTGCTGTCTCAAGCTCCCCAGTTTGTGGCCATTTGTTGCAGCCACCCCAGGACAATAACGCGGGCTCTTCTTTCTTTGTCCAGCACCCGCAAGTGAACAGTCCCCTTTCCTTATGCGTCTGGTATTTCGTCCTCCAGTCAATAGGGACAATGTGGGATGAAGAAGAATACCATGGGCAGAATTTAACCCTCCAGCCACCTTGGGGCTCCCTGCCACGGGGCAGTGTATGGCTCCCACCCAGGGCAAAACTGAGAATTCCTCTTCCCAGAAGGAGAAAACCCCGAAGGGTGTGCACAGAATGTACCACTTCTGGTATTGCCGGCCCACTGCTGGAGCCAAGGACTGGGCTTCCCAGTAGGAGCCAGCTGGAGCGGAAGCCTTGATGCTGCAGCAATCAGAATAACTGATTCCATGTGTCCCCTACTAACCCAACCCTCACCTAACCTGGGACACTAAGACACAGGCCTCTAGGGTCTGTCCACATCTCTTCATCATTCCCAACCCCTTCCTAATCTCCGCCACAGGCCGACTCAGCTTCCTGAATTCCCACTGTGCCTGGCTTCCAGCCCCCACAGGATCTTTGGACCTGCTATGCCCTCCACATGGGCTACTCTCTTCCCACCTGGCCCCTTCATCCAGCTAACCCCTATTCCCTCATCAGACGCCTCTTCTTGGACTGATGTCCTTCTCACAACTCTCCCATCCCCAGCCCAGCATCCCTCTTTCCCGAGGCCATCTGGCACCTGTCCCTAGGCCAGCATCCTTTGTCTCCAGGGTCCTCCCCTCAGGTCAGCTATTCACTGCTATTCCAAACAACGGGGCCTCATCTTCAGGTTATTTGCTCACAGTCTGCTTCTCTCACTGGTGTGGAAACCCTGGGGTGATAGCCCATCTTTCTTTGCTCTCCACCACCTCCCCAGTGCCTGGTGCAGTGCCTGGCATACAGTAGAACCCCTTTCTGCAAGTGACTGTGTGAGGACCCCCCAGCCCAGGATGGGGCCAGCTCTGAGCCCGGCCTGCACCTCCTCATCCTCCCCAGCAAAGCCAGGATGTCCAAGACACGGGCTCCCAGGAAGTCCTAGAAGCTCTCACCTGTCCTCTTCTCAACGCTGGTCAAAGGCCGTGCCCCATCCTGGTTGGCCATTCGGCCCTTGTACAGGATCCCGTCCACTCCCAGAATGTCCACCTCAGCCTGTTAGATGGCCCGGACCCCAAGTCACGGAGTATCCTCCCCTGCATCTCTGGTACATGCAGAGGATCAGCAGACAGAGCACGGCCTCCCCGGGGTCACCCACCCACGACACTACTCACGGTGTCATAGTCCAACACCTCGGGGTCCCCGTAGGGGTAGAGCGTTGACAAGTCATAGGAGTTGAACTGGAGGTTGGCAAAATTGCCAGGGCCGTCGCCCCAGTCCTTCTGGGACCCCAGCGAATCCAGACTACTTTGCTGGTCTCCAAGGTCCCGGAGCTGCTGTAGCCGCCGATGTTCCCTGGGGTAGGCAGGTAGGACAGCAGGCGCTGGGAGAACCCTCTGCCCCAGAGCAGCATCAGGATGGGCCCAAGGGCCCAGACTGGAATTTCTTCCAGCTTGAGTTTGGGGGGTACTTTGGGCTGGCGGGTGGATACGGACAGGCGCAGTCGGGGCAGAGGGGAAACCCAAGGCCTATGCTCCCCCAGACCCAGCCACCCCTGAGGGCCTTGGTCTGGCCTGACAACAGAAGGCTTTTAACCTGTGATCTCAAGAAGGAGTGATGTCAAGAAGGAGTCAGGCATAGGAAGGTGGGGGTGCGGGCCCAGGTCCCCATGGCTCTCCCCTTTATGTGGCTGTGATTGTTGGTCAGCCTTCATTTCCCCACCTGGCCAGAAGTATCTCAGCCCAGGGTGTAGGAAGCACCCACAGTGCGTGGGAGGTCAGGAGGTTGAGGGTGGGGCCACCCAGGGAGCCCACCAGGTGCGCTGGGAAACTGTAGGTCAAGGCACCAACTCTGCCACTTACTAGTTGTGACCTTGAGCAGGTGGCTGAAGTTTTCTGAACCTCATTTCCTTCAACTACAAAATGTGGTGAAGACAGAATACACCTCAAAGGGAAGGCTTAAGGATTCGCCGAGGTCAGCTAGGGCAAAGCACTCAGCGCAGCGAGCTGAGGCCATGGCCCTCGCTTACTTCCTCCAGCTGGAGGCGGGCACGTCCATCCTAGCTCACAGGAGTGGTGAGATTTAAATGAGAATCCTTCCCGAATGGTCTCCGCCCATAATAGATGTCCAATAAATATGCCCATTCCCTTCTGCCAGTGTCCTCTCCCAGGCCATCTGCTGCCCCAGCCACCTTCCCAAACGGCTCCCTTGCAGATGGCTGTCAATGCCCTGGGACTGGAGCTGGCGTCTCTGCAGGGCTCCGGGCTCCTGAGGGCTTCTGCGGGGCAGGCCCCCAGCCCACTCACCTCAACTGTTGCTGCTGCAGGTACTCATACGTGTTGGCACTGGCTGGCCGCAGCCTCGAAAGCAGGTGGGCTTTGCGGATGGTGATGAGTTGCCTGTTGGAGGACAAGAGTTCAGGGGGAGACGCAAGTGTCCCGCAGACAGCCCCAGCCTCCCTCCTCCTCCAGGAAGTCCACCCTTAAACCCATCCCTCTCTCTGGAGACGTCCACAGCACAGCCCGCTGTGCTCAGGGCCCTAAAGAGCCCCAGTGATCTTTGACAGTCACGAAGAGCAACTGTTCTGATTATAAAACTAAAAGCAAGAACAGGTGAATCCTAGAAACAGAACACAGATCGGAGGTTGCCAGGGGGCGGGGGAGGGGATGGGGAGTGGCCACAAATGGGGCTGGGGTTTCCTTCTGGAAAGTTGGTGAAAATGCTCTGGTGCTAGAAGGAGCGGTGGTTGCACAATATTGTTGAGGCACTAAATGCCCCTGACCTGCCCAGTTTTAAATGGTTGATTTGTGTTGTGTGTTTTACCTCCACACACACACACACGAAAAAAAAAAATATATATATATATATATCAGCTATCTGAGCAGAGGGAACTATTGTACACGTTGATCTCAGAGGTGGTTATAAAGGTGTGTACACGTGTACAAATTCATCAGATTGCACCAAAAACATTTACATACTTTACCATTTTAACCACAATAAAATGTTAAAGTAATATATACTGTCAGCATTTTAGAAAGGACAGACCACAAATAAACACAAAAAGCTCTATAACCATGTGACAAATATTTCGATATGTGTCCTTCCAGTAATTTTCTGTTTATGTATTTTTTTTTAAGATTTTATTTATTTATTTGACAGAGAGAGCGAGCGAGGGAGGAGTGGGAGAGGGAGAAGCAGGCTTCCCGCTGAGCAGGGAGCCTGATGCGGGGCTTGATCCCAGGACCCTGATGCAGGGCTCGATCCCAGGACCGTGGGATCATGACCCGAGGCAAAGGCAGACACTTAACAACTGAGCCACCCAGGCGCCCCTGTATTTTTTTTTTTTTTTTTAACAAAAATAGGATCATGGGCAACCCCTTTGGGACCCCTCCCTCCTTGGGAGCTTTATACTATCACTGCTATGGCTCAATAAAACTTGCTAAAAAACAAAACAAAACAAAAATAGGATCACACACAAACTACTTGATTTTCTCATTTAAGTTATTGTGAACCTTTTTCCAGGCCACTAAATAATTCTTCCACAACTGTGCCATCCAATATGGCAACCACTGGATACCGGCGGCTATTTAAATTTATGGTTAAACTTAAATAAATTTAAATAAAATGCAAAATTCCATTTTCAGCCACATTAGCCCTATGTGGCTGTCAGCTACTGCGTTGGACGGTGTAGCTGCAACCATTTCCACATCTCAGAAGGTTCCATTATACCTCCTTCTACAACATGACTTATATCAGCTGATGCAAATGTACATAACTCATTCACCGCTTCACATTGTTTCCTTTCCTTTTTTTAAAAAATATTATAAATAACGCTGCAACTAGGGATCTGGGGCTTTAACCAAAAAATCTGGATATAGGCTCAAAGCCCCTCCATGAGCATGGACTGATGATGTAGGGTGGTGAGCTTCGTGGGTCACGGGGGCCAGGCTAGCGTGGGCGCTGCAAGATTCAGGCTCTTAAACCCTATGAGAGTGTTGTTTGGTGGTTCTTCAAAGAGTTAACCGTCAAGGGACCACATGACCCAGCACTCCCACCACCTCCAGGTTTATACCCAAAATAACAGAAGTTATTTGGGTATTTATATCCAGCCAATCTACGTACATGCATGTTCACAGCAGCACTAATCACAAGAGCTAAAAGATGTATCAACCCACATGTTCATCAGCGTGTAAGTGGATAAACAAAATGTGGGCGACTTATATAATGTGATACGATTCAGCCATAAAAAATGGAATGAGGCACTGACACCTGCCACAGTGTGGATGAACCTTAAGAACATGATGCTCAGTGACAGAAGCCAGAACCAGGTCACAGGTTGTACGACTTCATTCATATGGAGTGTCCAGAATAGGCGAATCCACAGAGATAGAAAGTAGTGGTTGTCGGGGGTTGGGGAGACGGTTAATGAGTCTGGGGTTTCCTTTTAGGGAGATGAAAATGCTTTGGAATTAGAGGTGATGGTTGCAGATCACCATGAATGTGCACCAAATGACACTGAACTGTTCACTTTAAAATGGTGTGTGTGTGTGTGTGTGTGTGTGTGAATTTCACCTAAATAAATAAAAAGTATTAGACTCTAAAAATACATGCAAGGAAGTCCCACAAAGTTCAGCTTTTCCCGTTTCCTTCTATCCTTTTGCTTTTGGAGTTGACCTTGACTCTGGGACACAGCAGGCGCCAGGCAGGGCTGGTGAAGGAGGGGATGCCAAGTGCCCCTGCCCGGGACCGGGAGCAAATGAAATCAAGTGTACGGAATAATGTATACGGACAGAAAAATGATGGACCTAGAACCACCCCAGGCGCGTAGGTGGGGGGATCCAAACAGAGAGGGTGGGCGTGGACGCCCCCTGGCGGCGGTACTCACGGGCCCGTCATCAGCTCCACAGGCCGGTCGCAGGAGATGCATTTCACCCGCTCAAACAGTTTCCTGGAAGACAGCCAGCCGTCAGCTGGTGCACCGTGGGGGAAGGTCTGTCTGTTCCTCAGGGTCAGGACCTCCCTCCACACCCTACTCCCCTGCTGACCCAGCCCAGCTCAGCTCAAGTTGGCTCTGCTGGCCCCTGCTGATCCCTGCCCTGTGGCTGCCTGGGGCACAGGTAGGGGATACAGTGTATGTAGTTAATATTCCTGCCCCAAACACAATGGAGGTCTTTAAAACCAGGGGCCTCTGGAAAGCTACCCTACACAGGGGATATTTGGATGGATGAGGGGTCATCTGAGGACAGGAGACCCCTTCCCCACCCCAACACTGAGTCCCTCTGCCTGGGGCTCTATCTGGATGGGCTGGGGGACATGGCAAGAGGGCTCCAGTCCCAGATCCCCAGGCTCCCTGTGAGGCCTCGCATGGCCCCTACCCTCCGTGAGCCTTGGTTTCATTCGTGGCAAGAGGGCTTTGGAGCAGATGTGTTCCTGGAGCCCCTCGACAGCCAAGGCCAGAGCCCCTGGGTGCCCTCAGCTCCATCCCACCTTCACCCTCCTCCCGGAAGCCAGGAAGCCCCACCCCTTTCCCCTGGGTCCACAGGTCTGGAACCCTTCTTCCCAGAATCCGCTGGGATGCCCCTCTGGTTTCCTCTCTGGAGAGAGGGTCTCCCCAGCCTCTGGGAGCTGCACCCCTACCCAGGTGGGGCTCACTTCCTAAAGCCGGCAGCACTGTCAGGGTCAAATCGTAGGCCTTCAATCAGGAGCTTCCTGAGTACTTTCCAGATCTCATCCATGTCTTTCTTCAGACCATTCAAATCACTGTGGACCAGCTGCAAACAGCCAAAGGGAAGAGAAGAGCGTTTAGTCAACTAATTCACACACACACACACACACACACACACACCACCCGCCCCCAGCTTCACTCCAGAAAAGGAATTGCAGCAAAATTACACAGAGTGTAACAAGATTAAACTGAAACAGTGAGGGGGTCAAGGGAAAGGAAAATGACAAAGCTTAGGTTAAGGTTCATCTCCCTAATGCATGCTGTTGCAAGTGGTGAAGTGAGCTCCAAACCCCCAGATGTAGGCAACCCACTAATCCAGTTTTTGTCTATGGATTGGCCTGTTCTGGACATTTCATATAAATGGAATCACACAATCCATGGCCCTCGGTGTCTGGTTTCTCTCACTCAGCATCATGTCTGCAAGGGTCACCCAGGTAGCAGCATGAATCTGAGCTTCATTTCTTCTTATGGTTGAATAATATTCCACCACAATTTGTGGATGGATAGACCACAATTTATCTATCCATCTGTTGATGGACATTTGGGTTGCTTCCACTTTTTGGCTATTATGAGTAATGCTGCTATGAACATTTGTGTACAAGTTTTTGTATGGACCCATTTTCATTTCTCTTGGGTACACACCTGGGCCTGGAAGTGCTGGGTTGTATGGTGACCCTATGTTTATCTTTTTGAGAAACTGCCAGACTGGTTTTCACAGTGGGACTCGTGAATTTTTAAATCCAGCATGTGACTCTTGATCTTGGGGTCATGAGTGAGAACCCCATGTTGGGGGTAGTTTACATGTTGTTTTTTTTTAAGATTTTATTTATTTATTTGACAGCGAGAGACACAGCAAGAGCAGGAACACAAGGAGGGGGAGTGGGAGAGGGAGAAGCAGGCTTCCCACCAAGCAGGGAGCCCGACACAGGACCCCAGGATCATGACTCGAGCCGATGGCAGACGCCTAACGACTTAGCCACCCAGGTGCCCCTGTTGGGTGTAGTTTAAAGTGTTCCTTCTAGTGCCCACATTTTGGTCTCTAAACACCACTCCCCACTAACAGGAACCGAGACTCTGTAGAGAAATGACTGAATCAGGTCTGAGGAAGGGAATGTTGAAGATGAGCCTGGAACATCTTGTCCTTTAAGGAACCAAGACCACTTTCTGAGACAGAGGGTCAAGTCAAAGGGCTCAGAGGCCAGCTCACAGGCCAAAGATGAGAACATGTAAGTGACAAAAGAAATAGTAACTTAACTGATTGAGCAAATTGAATACATTAAAACCCATGATTCACAGGGACATTCACAAAAAATAAATTAAAACCCAAAAAACAGAAACCCCCATTTGCCACCATATATTGGAGGTGTCTGTAGCAGTGATATCATTCTTGAACACCGGTAATTAAAGGAAATAGCTCATCATTGTTCTCGTCTTTCCTGCAAGAACCATATTTCAGGGCGCCTGGGTGGCTCAGTTGGTTAAGCGACTGCCTTTGGCTCAGGTCATGATCCTGGAGTCCCAGGATCGAGTCCCACATCGGGCTCCCTCCTCGGCAGGGAGTCTGCTTCTCCCTCTGACACTCTTCTCTCTCAAATAAATAAAATCTTAAAAAAAAAACCATATTTCAGGGTAATTGGCTCAAGCTGATGAGGGAGAGCTCTTCTTTATGGATTTCTAGCTGGTAAATGGAGAAGCAGTGCTAAGATTAGAGAACTCACCATTTTGCAACCGTGAAATAACCAGTTCAGGAAACGATTCTCAATTTATGAGGAAACCACTAGGAGAATGGCCAATGAGGCAACAGACATTTCCAGGGTGCCAAAGGGTCACCCCCAAATCACTTGCTGCTTATAAGGGGGGAATGGACCTTTACAGTGGTGCCATCAGCCTAGCATCGCTGGGCTCTGATGAATCTGCTTCACCACTGAAGGGACCACCGGCCAGCATGACCTACCTGCCGACCCAAGGTGACACGAAGTGCACAGCACCCCAAGAAGACTCTTTCCCCCAGCTTCCTATTTTGAAAACTTTTAAATCTACAGAAAAGTTGCAAGAATAGTCCAAAGGACACTTGGACATCCATTTAATCAACTTTTAACATTTTACCACATTTTCTTTATCTATACGTGTGTGTATCCGTTCATTTTCTGAATCATTTCAGAGTGAATTGCAGACATGATATATCACCCCTACCTATAAAAAGTTAAACAGAGGATTACCATATGACCCAGCAATTCCACTCCTGGCTATCTACCCAAAAGAACTAACAACAGGCGTTCAAACAAAAATATGTACATGTATGTTCACAGCACCATTATTCATAATAGTCAAAGGTGGAAACAGCCCAAGTGCCCATCAACAGATGAATGAATAAACAGAATGTGGTCTATCTTGTCGATGGAATTAGTATTCAGCTATAAAAAAGAATGGAGATCTGATCCATAAATGAACCTTGAAAACATGATGCTAAGTGCCAGAAGCCAATCACAAAAGGTCACAGTTATGTATGATTCCATTTATATGAAATGTCCAGAATAGGCAAACCCACAGAGAAAGAAAGAAGCCCAGTGGTTGCCAGGGGCTGAGGGGGTGCTGCCTATATGGGCATGGGCTTCCTTTTGGGGAGATGATAGTGTCTTACCACCAGACAGAGGTAGTGCTTACAGAAAACTGTAAATGTACAAAATGCCACCGATTTAGTCATTTTAAAATGGTTAAAGGTTAACCAGCTGGGTGTGGAGCCTGCTTGAGATTCTCTCTCTCTCCCCTACCTCCCCGTGTGTTCTCTTTCTCTAAAACAGAAAGACCATGATACCTCACTCATAAATACCATAGTACTCATGAGGACATTTTCTTTTTTTTTTTTTTTTAGCTTTATTTATTTATTTTTGAGATGGGGTGGGGCAGAGGGAGAGAGAGAATCTCAAGCTGACCCTGTGCTGAGCATGGAGCCCGACGCAGGGCTCGATCTCATGACCCTGAGATCACGACCTGAGCTGAAACCAAAGGTCAGAGCCTCCACCAATTGCACCCCCCCCAGTGCCCCCTCACCGTGAGGACATTTTCTTACGTGACCGCAATGCCATCAGGACACCGAACACACGAACAGGAATTCCTGACTTTGCACCAATTCCCAGCCCATGTGTCGAGTTGGCACAACTGAACCAGGACACAAGCCAGGTCTCCTCATGAGATGCATTTGGTTGTTTTGTCTCTGGAGACACTTGTAATCTAGAACAGTCTCTGTCTCCACTCTTTTCCCCACCGCATCATTGAATTATTGAAGAAAAGTAGGTCAGTTGTTCTGTAGATGACTGGACTCACTCGGGCTGCAATTCCACACTGATCTGTGTGACTTTTATGAGGAACGTGTCCCTGGGAGAAACACGTCCGTATCTGCTTTGCTTGTCATTACATCCACTGTAGGTGCCCACTGCGCAGTTGATGAATGAACAAATCCTCGTTTTGTGGAGGAGAAAGCTGAGGCTCAGGGAGGTCATACCACTTGGGGCCCATGGCCGCTCAGGGGAAGCTGGGACTTGCACCCAGGGCTGCCGGACTCTGAACCCAAACTGCAGGAGCTGCACAGCACTGTAATTGTTGGTTTGACTGTTGCTGTCTCTCTACTAGACAGTCTCAATCAAGGCAGGGGCTGGGACTCATTATCAACATTTCTCCAGAGTCTGGCTTATCACAGGTGGTCAGTAAATGACAGAAGAAGAAATAAATGATCAGCAGATTCCCCCCCGCCCGCCACCCTGCCATGCCCCTTTGCTGGGCCAGGCAGGAGAGTTATGGTAGTCAGCCTCCAAGGTGCTCCCAGCCCACACCTCTCGGTCCTCACACCCTCTCACACGGAGTAGGGCTGGCCTATGGAACCACAGGATGCTACAGAAATGATGCAGTGTGGCTGTCCTAGAAGACAATACACAGCTTCCGTTGGGCTCTCCTGGGTCACTTGCTCTGGGGAAGTAGGCTACCATGTTGTGATGCCACTCAGGCAGACTTGAGGAGAAGTCTGAGTGGCAAGGACGTGCGGTGTCTTGCTGACAGCCACGGGAGACTGCCATCTTGGAAATGGCACTTCAGCAGGCTGAAGCCCCGGATGGCCTCTTGACTGCAGCCTCATGGGAGAATCTGAGTCCCTCAGCTAAGCTGCTCCCCAATTCCTGGCCCTCAGCAAATCTGAGCATTTGTCGTTTCAAGGTGTCACATTTCAGGGCTACTTGTTATGCAGCAGGTGATGGCTGCTATGGGGTACTCACCTTGGTGCTCAGGTCCTTGCTCAGCTGCTCCAGAGCTTTCTTCCAGTCATCCTCGTGGGTCACGACCCTGAAGAGCATGCCCTGAATCATCTCGTTCAGCTCTGTCACTACTGTCTCCAGGTCGGCCCGGCTCGCCTTGCTTGCCAGGGTGCTCCTGTCGGCTTTCTGGAGACACAGGGGACTCAGGGAGCCAGGGATGCTGGGGTGGGAGCAGGAGGAAGTTGGGGGATCCAACCACTCTGGTCTGTGTTTTTTAGTCTGGGACCCTGAATGCCCGGCCTTAGTTTAAATTCAACCTTGGGGTCTAACTGGTTCAAACACGACTGTCAGGTCTAAGCCAAGGTCTTCCTGTGGATGGAGAAACTGGTGCATGGTTTTTAAGTTCACATAATAAATTGTCATTAATCCTGAGTCACTGAAAATAGGAGTTGACAGGACAACTTTGGGGAAGCTTCCCTAGCCCTTCTATATGAGAAAGATGGAAGGAAACTGTGGGATATTCTCTGCCTGGTTTTTGTCTTGGCTGGATGACTCCATTCCCCTGGGTGGGAGAGTTGGGCTCAGGCTGCACAGGCAGGAGGAGAGAGGAAACTGCTCACTCATCTCTTTCTTTCTTTCCTTTTTTTTTTTAAGATTTTCTTTCAGAGAGAGAGAGACTGTGCATGAGCACAAGCACGAGCTCAAACATGAGGGGGGAAGGGGCAGAGGGAGAAGCGGACTCCCTACTGAGCAGGGAGCCCGATGTGGGACTCGATCCCAGGACTCTGGGATCATGACCTGAGCTGAAGGCAGACGCTTAACCGACTGAGCCACCCAGGCGCCCCCACTCACCTCTTTCAATTCCTGCTCCATCACACTTTTGTCCACCTTGTGCATTTCAAGGTTTTTAATTTGAGCATGGACAATCTAAGAACAGAAGAAAATGGCATGTTCCCCGTCCCTGGAGACCTTGGAAATAACGTCTTCCTCCCATGTTGACACTTGCCACACTGCTAGGAAGGGACAATGGGGCCAGGTGGCTAGCAGGTAGGGTGGGCACATCCGAAGGTGTGGATTCCAGATGCCCAGATCAGAAGGGAAGGAACGTGAGCCTTGGGACAAGATGTCCCCTCAGAGGTGGCATCGTAGGAACTTGGCGGCATGGGGGGAGGGGGGCAGACTTGAGGAAGGAAAACGTAAACCAATGTTAACACTTTGGTTCCCTGGAAGTTTGAGGCAAGTTCAGCTCTTATCTGTAATGGGGTCCCGGTGAGAACTGGAGTCTATTTATCCACCAAGCACTTGGTGGATAAATAGGCACATGCTGTGCCCCAGTGTCGGGAGGAAACTCTCATATCCCACCCCCTCACTCCATGAAGAACCAGCTCCGCTCGTTAACTCTGCCCGCTCTCCACTTTCCAGACCCTGCCTGTGGCAGCAGCAGCTAACCTGCTTGGGAAGAGCCTCAGAGCCTCACCACCTCCTGAGCCATGTCCCCAGAGCCTTGTCCCCAGCCATGTTTCCTCCAAAGCTGGCAACAGGCTTCTGTTTCTTCCTTCATGTCTGGTTTCCCTCTCACCCTTAGGAACAGAGCCCCTAAACTTTGAGCTGGCACCTGGCAGCCCAGAATCATGAATTCATTTCACACCTTCCTTTATAGCTCAGTATGACCACTGGGGTGTAAATGGAAGTGGGCAGGAAGTAGGTAGGAAAAATAAGAAATATTTAATGAAGTATGTCCTCTCTGCTGCTGGCTTGAATGCAGAGTTAATGACTGGAGTGCCAGTAGCCATCTTGCTCCTTGAGGTGAGCTTGGGAATGGAAGTCATACACCATGGAGTTCTATACCAGCTCTGGACAAACCACCTCTGAGTTTCTTGAATGTGAATGGGAAATACACTTACACCTGGTTTAAGTCAGTTATTTGTGGGCGGGCGGGGGGGGAGATTATGTTATCTGAAGTTGAACCTAATTCTAATAAATGCCAAGTTCCATCACATCCACCTTGCCTGAAGATGGGTCCCCAAGGTCTAGAATGGGAAGTGGAGGTATGGAGGGAAGGCCCTGTTTGGGCCTCAAGTCACGTTGCTTCCTCCAACCCCACATAAGCAGAGAGCCCTGACCTTTTGGAGTCATCAGGCCCAATATTAATACTTACATCTCCACTTGGCTCTTTCTAGTTAAAATCTAGAAATAAAGAGGAGTGATTGGGCTTAGATCTTCTAACTTCTGTTAGGGTCACCTGTGTACTGGGTTGATTAACATCTTCCCCAAAATCCATGCCTTCCCAGAACCTGTGAACGTGGCCTTATTTGGAAATAGGGTCTTTGCAGATGTATTAGTTAAGATGAGGTCATACTGGAATCCATCGACTGATGTCCTTATAAGGAGATGAAGACAGACACGCAGAGCGAATAGGGAAACAAGAGATTGGACGGATGTGGCCACAAGCCAAGGAATGCCTGGAGCCACCAGAAATTGGAAGAGCCAAGAATCCTCCCCCGGAGCCTTCTGTCAGAGCAAGGTCCTGCCAACACTTGGATTTTGGGCTTTTAGCCTCCAGAACTGTGACGGAACAGGTGCCTAGTGTTTTAATAAAGAATGCAGTTTGCGATCATTTCTTACGGTAGCCCCAGGAAACAAATACACCCAGTCAGTGGGAGAACTGGGATTCAAACCCAGGCCTATCTAACCCACAGCCAGGGCTCTGAACCCCAATACCAGGCCGCCTCCCGGCCGGGTGAGCCTCACTGACTTCTTTGCCTGGATCGGTTTTCTGCTCTTTCACGGGGCACTAATCCCTTAACTCTCCCACAGCCTAGAGAGACAAGAAGTGGCATCTTCTGGCTAATTCTGGCAGAGTCAGCACTCTGTACCCACTGGCCACCTTATCCGTGTCCTCCCACACCAAGCCCAAACTCTGAATATCACCGTTTGTTTCAAGAATGGTTTTGGAATGCAGCCTCTGGCTTATGGAAGACACTTGTCCCCTTGCAAAATGCAAATCACGTTTTCCGTAAGGTCCGTAAGAAAGAGTTTGGCCCCCACTTATTTTCTGGCTGGGGTCTCGGTGGGAAACTCTAAGAGAAGCACGCCAAGGGGACAGAAACATTTCCGTCTTGACTGGATGGTGGGGGCATGGCTACACAAACAGGCGGACGTGGACTGAGCTCTTAGACTTAAGACTCGGGCATTTTACTGTGTATAAATTACACTCCAGTTAAAAATAAACAAATACACCACTGACCCCTCCCCCCGAAGGGCCTGGAGGGTGTCTGTCTTGCTGACTGCAGCATCGCCAGCCACTAGCAGGGTGCCTGGTGCAAAGTGGACGCTGGTAGCACGGGCTGAATCACTCAGTGAATAAATAAGAGGATTTCTTGTGCCACCTGCTGTGTTCCTGATGTTTCTCGCAGACATCCAGGGAGAGCTTCACATCTCCAGATGTTGCAAGAGAACCACAGCGGATAGGTCTGCCCTCCCTCATTTCCCCGGGAAGGGCTCCACAGGGCTGCTGATTTCTTATCGCCTGTATTCATTTAGGAAATATTTAACGAAGCATGGGTTGTATATGGAACCCTGCTCCAGGTCCTTGCAGGGCTAACTTTTATAAGCAATGGATTCCTGTTGGCACAGGGGCAGGGAGCACAAAGGCTGACTTGTTCTGTTTGGCACTGTTTGCTCAGGCCTTGTCCTCTGCAGTTTCCCTCAACAAGCAACAGCTACTCGGAGGCAGACAGTGAGCAACTCCTTCCCCCGGCACAGGGTGGGCCAGAGCACTGGGCACACATGACGCGTGCCCGGGCACTGGCTCCAGTCTTGGTCGGGGAAGGCACCCTGCAGGGCACAGCAGCCCAGCCTCCACGTAGGGCAGTTGACAGGGAGGGCCTGGAGCTGGCCAGGAACAAGGGAGTTCCCAATCTCGGCACCCACAAAAGTCTGAGCCGGCAAGCCTGCGGCCCCTCTGGCCACACACAGCACCCTCACCCTAGCTCAGGCTACGACTGGTTCCCCTTTCAGGAGTTCTTTGCATGCCAAAGGCGCCCTGCGTGTGTCGTAGCCTGATTCCTCTGTGTCATGGTCTCGGGAGGGGGAGATAAGCCTTCACCTTGTGCCTCCTACAACCTCATGCATCCCACCAATAGCTCCCTGACTTGGAATCGGAAGCCCCCATGGAAACCATCTCCAGTGATTTTGTGTGGGGTTTTGTCTCTTATACTCTGAGGGAAGGTTATCTCCTCCTGCTAGGAATGACTCTGAGTGCTCCTCCAAAGGTTGGGGACACCTCTGAGACAAGGCATGGACTGGACAGGTCCTGAGGACCATCAGGTCAGGGTCATCAGGCCAGCTGAGTCAGACCCTCCAGGCCCACGGGAGGGGGTGTCAGGCCGAGTGAGCCTCAGCTAGGCGCTCTGTGTCTGTCTACACAATTGCGGGTCAGCAAATCTGCCGTTCCAGAAAGACACCCGCCCCCCGCCCCATGCCCCGACGCTGAGAATTCACCAACGATCTGGGTTAGGGGAAACGTTAGGAACCTAACAGTTGATGCAAGAAATCCTCTTATTCATTCACTGATTCCTTCAGCACATTTTGAGCATTTGCTGTGTGCCAGGCACACTTCTGGGGGTGGCTGACCCAGCGGTCTGTAACACAGACATTGCTCAGGCCCTCTTGTTTCTATGTTTGGAGGTGCAGGTGGGGGTGGTGGGATTTGTCTGTTGCCACCGAGGTGTAATTCACACAAAGTAAAACGCCTGTGCAGCATCCCTGCTTTCCCCACCATCGGTGTATCCGTGAAACCTTCAGGGAGGGTCCGAATGTCCAAGCGAGGAGCCCTCCCTGCAGCTGCCCACCCAAGCCCCCAGACCTTCAAGTCATCCAAGCGAATCTGCAGCTTCTCCACTGCCCTGTCCAGCACGACGTGGTGATTCTTTATCTTCTCTATCTGGTGACCCCAAACTCTCTCGAGTTCCTCCTCCTAACAGGGGGAGACATGGACAAAAAGGCCTCTGCTTCTAAGGTCACCATGGCTGGGGAAGGGGCAGGAAGAGTATACCAGGCCAGCGTGTCTCCAGCCTGCCACCTAGGTGGCCCCCAAAGACCCTCGCCACAGAAACCACACAGGCACAACCCACTGGGACCCCTGCACCTGCCAGGTCTGCCTCCTTGGCCCCACTGACTCCCCCAGGCTGCCTTTCAGCTATGGGACAGACAAACGCTGTCCTGGGTCAGGGACTCTGCCATCAGCCCACCTCAAGCCACCCGTCCCCTGAAGCTCTTTCTGCCTGGGGCACTCACCTTTATCCTGGATCTCTGGAGGGTCCCGATCTTTTCCTGCAGTACGTCCACTGTCGTCCCAAGCTTGGAAGAGGCTCCCATATTAGCTGAAAGCAAAGGAGGGGGTGGCTGTCTGGGGCAGGGATGGGGAAAGAGGCTTCATCTAGAGCTCCACCTGCTTCTGAAAGGAGTCGTTGGAAGTAGTACTGTCCAAAGCAAGAGAATGTGAGCCTGGGGGCCTCTGAGGTCATGCCCCAGTGTCGGGAGGAAACTCTCATATCCCACCCCCTCACTCCATGAAGAACCAGCTCCGCTCGTTAACTCTGCCCGCTCTCCACTTTCCAGACCCTGCCTGTGGCAGCAGCAGCTAACCTGCTTGGGAAGAGCCTCAGAGCCTCACCACCTCCTGAGCCATGTCCCCAGAGCCTTGTCCCCAGCCATGTTTCCTCCAAAGCTGGAAACAGGCTTCTGTTTCTTCCTTCATGTCTGGTTTCCCTCTCACCCTTAGGAACAGAGCCCCTAAACTTTGAGCTGGCACCTGGCAGCCCAGAATCATGAATTCATTTCACACCTTCCTTTATAGCTCAGTATGACCACTGGGGTGTAAATGGAAGTGGGCAGGAAGTAGGTAGGAAAAATAAGAAATATTTAATGAAGTATGTCCTCTCTGCTGCTGGCTTGAATGCAGAGTTAATGACTGGAGTGCCAGTAGCCATCTTGCTCCTTGAGGTGAGCTTGGGAATGGAAGTCATACACCATGGAGTTCTATACCAGCTCTGGACAAACCACCTCTGAGTTTCTTGAATGTGAATGGGAAATACACTTACACCTGGTTTAAGTCAGTT